ACACACACACACACACATACACTCCCTACCCTCCCTCCTGAATGCCATTGGGGTCTTTGCCAGTCTAGTCCACATAGAAGATGTCTCCCAGGCCTTCAAAGACCCTAATGACCCTCAGGAGGCAGGGGCAGCGATCCACAGTTTTTAAATCTGGAACTTAAACTTAGCCGTCCATAATTTTAACTTCCTTTAAAGTTTCATATTCAAAATATTACAGGAAACAAAGTACAAGAACAAAATGATAGTTGTGTCTTCAGAGGGCGATTGTGTAAACGTGTCGTCGTGTGAGACTGACTGACGGCGAGGCAGCAAATGTAGCAGCAGTGCAGAAAAAATATGTTCATGGTTTTAACTTTTGATTTTCTGCATCGACAACAAGCCAGGTGAGGACAGGTGTAAACTCCTCTGCTTTTATTTTGAAAAACAAGCTGGTTTCACAGCAGCGTGAGACCAAATGTTTAGAGATGGAGTGTGAGAAGTGCAGCGTGTCTGAGAGTTCACTCTGCAGGTCAAGAACCAGCTGAAACTTTGATTTTTTTATTTAAAGGAACTTTTCTGTTTCAGCTCCTGGAAATATATGGTCAACATTTCGTCATTTAATACATTTAATGCATATAATGAATAAAATACATATAATACATGACAGACATCAGAGGAGTTTGAAGTTTGTTGTTAATAGAAGCTACTGTGACAATCCTTTGTTCTGTGTAGAAACTGTTTTATTGTTGTTTTTATTGTTTTTATTGTTGTTTTTATTGTTGTTTTTATTGTTGTTTTTATTGTTNAGTTTGTGTTTAGAATCAGCTGATCAGTCGAGATTTATTATTTTCATCTGACAAAGTAAAATAATCTGAATAAAAACTGTTTAATCTTCTGCTTCAAGTTAAAATATAAACTGATGTAAACAAACAAACAAATCTGTTCTGCTGAATAAAAACAAAACAACAGGTGTGATGAAAGTCAGATTAAATAATCTCAGATAATCCAGCAGACTGAGTGGTTTTAACTGTTGGTCTGATTTCATTTTAGAGCTTCAGTTTTATCAGAATAAATATCAAGTTTTAATTTAAACTGAGTCAAATTATCAGATTAATAAAACTGAGACCGACAGGAAGTGGATTTATTTTGACAGGAAGTTCAGCTGAAGTGAAGACAGGAAGACTCTTATTTTGATAGTCAGACAGGTGTAGAGCTGTAGAAGCAGGACCTCTGGTGGACTCAGGTGGTTCTGCAGCTGAAGTCATAACCCAGAATGCACTGCGGCAGTCAGCAGGGGGTAGACCTGATGGTTTCTGCTGCTGCAGCTGGGGTCAGGTCTGGGTCTGGGTCTGGGTCTGGTTCTGGTCCAGAGGACAGAGCTGGGTTCTGGTGGACTCGGTGCTGGAAACAGAGGGGGTTTCCTCCTCTGGTCCAGATTATTTATAGAGGTCTGGATCCAGTCTGGACCAGTCTTTTTATAGAGACAGGAACTCTGCTGGGACCTGACCCACAGAGTCCTGAAGGGTTCTGAAGAGGTCCAGCAGAGTCCTGCTCCCCCTCAGGCCGGCTCCATCTGTGTGCAAATAAAACCATCCAGACTGGTCGGTTATTTTAGCTGTTTTGTAGCCTTCGGCTCGTTCAGCAGGTAGCTGCAGCTGCTGTGACTTCATCATTTTCAATGTTTTTAGCTCTGGTTTCTTCTTCAGATGCTACTGTTAGCTTTTAGCTACCACTCTGTTAGCTTTTAGCTACCACCCTGTTAGCTTTTAGCTACCACTCTGTTAGCTTTTAGCTTCCACTCTGTTAGCTTTTAGCTACCACTCTGTTAGCTTTTAGCTACCACTCTGTTAGCTTATAGCTACCACTCTGTTAGCTTTTAGCTTCCACTCTGTTAGCTTATAGCTACCACTCTGTTAGCTTTTAGCTACCACTCTGTTAGCTTTTAGCTACCACCCTGTTAGCTTTTAGCTACCACCCTGTTAGCTTTCAGCTACCACTCTGTTAGCTTTTAGCTTCCACTCTGTTAGCTTTTAGCTACCACCCTGTTAGCTTTTAGCTACCACCCTGTTAGCTTTCAGCTACCACTCTGTTAGCTTTTAGCTGCACCTTCCAAGTGATGATGAAAGTAGAGTTATTCTAAGTTTGTCAGAAACCCTGCTGCTCTGTGTGCAAAAGTCTTCAGCAGGCCTCTGAGTGACAGCTGCAGCTCAGTGGGTTCTGACGTTTGGACCGGTTCTGACCCGTCATGTGGGCTCTGAAACTCTCAGAACCAGTTAAATCCTGTTTATAGACCAGTTTAAACCTGGTTTATTTATTTATTTATTTTTGAAATGTATTAATTTAATTTGTAACACT